AGCGCAGCTTCCAGTTCCTGGTTGAGCCTCTCCACTTGACCGTTGATCTGCGGGTGAAAACCGGATGTCAGCGAAACCTTCGCCCCCAGGGCTGCACAGATATCCTTCCAGACCCGGGCGGTGAATTGGGGGCCCGGTCAGATAGCACGTCCTGAGGACGGTGGGGACGAACGTGCGGTTCGGTGGTCCAGTTCCCAGGCCCGGGTCAGCGAGGAGAGCCTGCCATACGCAGTCCTCAATCTCCCAGGTTACGGCCCCAACAGTACAACTGGGTGGCAGCATAGTCGCAGGCAGCTTCTCGGAATCATCAGAGGTAAATTGTCGTGACACTGTATCAGGCTTGGTGTTCTTGGTACCGGGTATGTAAGAAATTAACAGGTTAAAACGGGGGGGAAAAGTGACCAGTATGACTGACGGGGGTTTAAACGTTTAGCAGACTAGATATATGACAGGTTTTTATGGTCAGTCCAAACCAGCACGGGAAGCTCAGCTCCCTCCAGCCAGTGCCGCCACTCCTCCAAAGCGAGCTTGGTGGCCAACAGCTCCCTGTCCCCGACATCATAGTTCCTCTCCGCCGCCGATAAACGCCGGGAGAAAAAGGCACAGGGGTGGAGTTTCCCATCAACGCTCTGACGCTATGAGAGCACCGCTCCAACTTCAGTGTCTGAGGCATCCACCTCCAACGTGAATTGGTTGTCCGGGTCCGGGTGGATGAGTACCAGGGCATGGGCGAACTTGCTCTTTAAAGCGATGAAAGCAGCCTCTGCTTCCGGAGTCCAGGTGACGGGGACCCTGGTGGACGTCAGGGCCGTCAGGGGGCTGGCAGTGCAACTGTAGTCCTGAATGAACCTTCTATAAAAGTTGACGAAACCCAAGAATCGCTGTAATTGTTTCTGGGAGGTTGGGTTTGCCCAGTCCTCCGCAGCCCTGACCTTGTCTGGGTCGGCGCGAACCTGCCCACCCTCGAGGCAAAAACCCCAAGAAATTGATGGATGGCTGGTGAAACTCGCACTTCTCGGCCTACACATAGAGCTGATTCTCCAGGAGGCGCTGCAGAACCAGGCGGACATGGTGGCGGTGCTCAGCAGGACATCTAGAATAGATCTAGATATCATCCAGGTACACAAAAACGAATATGTTCAGAAAATCCCGTAACACATCTTTCACAAGAGTCTGAAAAACTGCAGGAGCGTCGCATAATCCAAAAGGCATCACAAGATACTCAAAGTGTCCCAGCAGGGTCTTGAATGGCGTCTTCCACTCATCCCCCTGGCGAATCCGAACTAGATGGTACGCGTTTCTAAGGTCAAGCTTAGTAAAAATGGTCACTGCGTGAACCGGCTCGAAGGCTGACGTAAGCAGAGGTAACAGGTACTTGTTCTTAATGGTAATAGCCTTCAACCCCCTATAATCGATACAGGGACGTAAGGAGCTGTCCTTCATACCGACAAAAAAAGACCCAGGTCCGAGCGGAGACGAGGACGGCCGAAGTATGCCAGCTGCGAGGGACTCGGCTATATATTTCTCGATTGCCACCCTCTCCGGTCGAGAGGTCTTATATAACCGGCTGGAAGGCACGGAGCACCCGGCAGGAGGTCGATAGCGCAGTCATGGGGCGGTGAGCAGGAAGAGACAGGGCCCGTGACTTACTAAAAACTGACCTAAGGTCGTAGTAGTCACGCGGCAGCCGGGTGAGATCAGGTGGTTCGACCTCCTCCCACTCCACAGATGTTCTAGGGGAGACGGCTGACTCCGGGCAGGATGACAAGCACTGAGTGGACCAGGACTCCATTCTTAAATCCATCTAGTTAAGATGGGGTTATGAGTCTGTAACCACGGGAACCCCATGACCAATGACGTCTGGGAAATAGGGAAAACAAAAAGTGAGAGGTGCTCCCTACGGTTACCGGACAGTAATAACTCAAGCGGGACAGTCCTATGAGTAATACTATGGAAACTGGCCATCTAAAGCCAGAACCTAACGTGGCATGGGCAATACTTCAGTCTTAATTTGCTTCTGCTTAACCAGATCCTGGTCAATAAGGTTTAGCTCACACCCCGAATCTAGTAGAGCAGTCAAAGAAATAGTGTGTCGATTAACTACTAGTGTGGCTGGCAGCGTGAATCGAGAGGGCAAACAAGGTCCTCGGTCTGCCGGGCGCCCCATCAAAACCGGCGGACCCGTCCTTTTGGCCGGACCGGACAACCAGATACCAAATGCTTAGGGGAGCCACAATAAAAACACTTGCCGGCCTCCCTATGACGCTGCCGTTCGTCATCAGGGAGCTGCGCCCTACCCAACTGCATGGGCTCGGGCTCGGCCTGGCACGGTGACTGCACCGGCTGGGCCAATGACAGGGGAAGAATGGCGAGATGCACTCTAGTGGCGGCCCGCTCAGTGGGGGTCCGCCTCATCTCCCTCATCCTGGTGTCCAGCCGGACGGCCAGGGCAATGTACTCGTCTAAATCCTCAGGCTTGACTAATAGGGTGAGCTCGTCCTTTAATGCCTCATCTAGAGTCTGAAAAAATGTTGATTTTAAATCGCTGGAGTTCCAGCCTGAAGCTACTGCCAGCTTGCGGAAATCAATGGTGAACTCTGTTAGGGGTCGATTATGCTGTTTTAATGCTCGAAGACGACGAGCCACACAAGACCGATCCATATCTATGTCAAAAGTCAACTTAAAATCTTTGATAAAGTCGTCATAGGAGCAGTCAAACAGGTTATGATTTGTGAACTTCGCCTCTGCCCACCGAAGTGCCCTGCCAGTCAGTAAGCCTAAAACATAAGAAATCTTCATGTCGTCGTGGGGAAATGACTGTGGGGACCTATTGAACACTAGGGCGCACTGTAACAAAAACCCACGGAAAACTTTTCTGGACTAGGGGAAATTACATCACAGCTATGCGGAAGTTGCTGCGATGCCGGGGGCCCCGCAGCTTAGCTTATTTCAAAACATAGCGTCACATAACTTTGCTGCAAAAAAGTTAAATCGAACATTTATGTACGTAAAAAAAATTATTTTCCAATAATTTTGCTAAATTAATTTTGTTTGTTTTACGTAAAAATAGAAATATCATGGCTTTTGTTTGTGATTGGCTCCGAATCAGACCTTAGATAATCCTACATAGAATCATCTATTCTCATCTATTTTTATATTTTTGACCACCCAAATCTGTTGGCACATGTACAGAAGATTCTCTCTCCTTGTCATTTGTCATTCTATCCCTATCTATGCCTCCTTCTGACCAAAGTGACAGCTGACATTTTTGTGTCCCAGTTAGCACCTGCGTTTCAAACGTGCTAAATCCACACACAAAAATTGCGCCTGCAAACCATTTCAGGCTTTGAAAATCGCATTGCGGGTGGCTATGGATGACATTTGCATATCCTCCTCCCATGAATTTGCACGTTTGGGTCAATATCATATGTTTTGCATTTTCATGAAGGCAGACACAGTAAAAAGTTGCGCCCGCTGATTTTGCGCACGGAATCCGATGTCCACCTCGATTAAAGATCAGCTTTGCTGACACAAAGACGTTTGCATGCGACTTTGTACACGCAAACCTTTTGAAGGTCAGGCCTATAGTGTTTGCATGTAGGGCAAAATTTTACATTTTGGTCTCATGTGACCATATCACCTCTACATGGTTTGTGGTTTGTGTCTTTTACTTACAACTCTTGTAATGGCCAGGGGCATCATGTACGAAGCATACTTGCGCACAAAATCCTCAAAGCACAATGTTTTACGCACAACTTGGCATGTAATAAAATAAACGGAAAAATGTGAGAGAAAATCCGGGCAAATTTTTGACCTGCCGCAAAAATGTGAGGTAGCCACGCAAACTTTTTTAATCGACAATAATAAACTACAGCGTACCATAACTCACCTAAATACACTGAAATATGACTCCATTTAGTCTTATTTAATTTATGGAGCATCAAACCTGATGTTTTTTTTCATGAGTTTGAGCTTTTATGGTTAAAACACGAGCGATGAAACTGAATCACATGTAGCCTTATACAATAACGCAACACACCTCAGAAAATAATGGAAACAACCTCATTTCAGATATAAACTGTGAAACTTCCTCTTTTTCACTTTCACTCTCACTGAAAAAGAAAACGGTGTCAGATAAGCAGATTAATTCCAACCAAGTCAGGTCTGATGATTACTAAGGTGGACAAGCTGGAGACAATCGCACATGTCCATAAATAGCTGCTAAAGATGCGCGTAATTGTGTAACAATGGCACCTTTGGCACACCTGGATAACATCACCAATGAAAGAAGATGGAGAGAGTGTTTTTTTCAGAGATCGCACTGATCTAATGGCACATGATGATACATGGCTTATTGGCCAGTTCAGATTGCCCAGGGAAATTTTTTTGGAGCAATGCACGGATTGGACTCAAGTGTTACAGAGGGATCAGGAACCTGCCTGTGGCAGTTCCAGTTCTCACTACGCTGTGGATGTTTTAAAAAGAGCTTTTCAGATGGAGCTGACAGACAGGTCAGGTATTTAATAGTCATCCCTGGGCCATGCCAACCATATGGGTTGGCCTCATCCGTATGTTACTCTGATATAAAAAGTTCCGCTAAACTGTGGCTCTCATTTGCAGCGAGGAGCTGATTTCTGAATGTAATCAGAACTATGGACTGCACTCATATTGCTATAAGGGCCCCATCTGTACATGAATATACTTTTGTAAATAAAAGGCATTGTCAATCAATATATATGCAACCTATTTGTGATGCTAAAATGTGCACGATAGTCTGCTCAACTCATAATTACTTTATTCTATAAAAATAATTGTAATTATTCATTCATCTTCTATACCGCTTATTCCATGGTGGCTCACGGGGAGCTGGTGCCTATCTCCAGCAGTCTGCGGGCGAGAGGCAAGGTACACCCTGGACAGGTCGCCAGTCCATGGCAGGGCAACACAGAGAGATACAGGACAAACGACCCACGTATGCACGGGGAGAACATGCAAACTACATGCAGAAAGACCCCCGGCGGGGAGTCGAACCCAGGACTTTCTTGCTGCAAGGCAACTGTGCTACCAACTGCACCACCGTGCAGCTCTTATTGATAGTAGATTAATTATAATTAATCTACTGATAATAGTTGGGTTGGGAACTAACCTCAGTGCGCGATGGCTGGCTACTAGGTAATTTTCTATTTTTTTATGTGACATCTTGAATGGTTTTAAGATATAAAGTTCTTCACATAGTGTGTGTGGTGATAGTCTTCCTAATAGAAATATGGGTGGAATATTCACATCATTATAATAATCAGCATTGAGCTATGAGCTCAGTGCAGCAGCCAGACAGCGCCGTTTGGTTAAGATGCACACATTGTAGAACTACAGGTTCGAGCCGACAAACGTTTTATTTTCAGTCAGGTTTGAGTCGCTGATGTCATTTAAGTGGTTGGTTTGCTGTAATTTACTACAAACATCCCTCATGGTGTGTAGACACAGTCTGTCTTAGCCTTTTTCCGCCGAAAGGAACCGGTTGGGACTGTAACAGCACCGTTGCCGTTGTTATTTGGACACGTGGTGGGTGCCGTCCGGTTATTTATAATACTTTGCATTTGTATTTAGGGGCGTGGACCGGGCGGTCAAAGCACCACGTGCAGCTGTGCAGAATCCACCGCAAATTGGGATGTATGAAGGCTACTTGTGCGGTTACATGTCTACGCACGGTTTTGTACATTTGAATTTTTTGTGCGGCTCAAGTTTCAGAATTTCTCCTTACCCCAAACTTTTAACATGAAAGCTGTGTACTCTTTCGTACATGAGGCCCCAGATTTGCAGACTGCACAACTAAATGTTGTTCTGATGAAAGATTCCCCTACCTGAACTGTGTATCTCCTCCAGAGTTACCATGGGTCTTTTGACCTTTTTGATGCTCTTCTTGGTTGGCAAGTTATGTTGACTACCATTACTCACAGATGGATTCATTAAATAGGTGACTTCTAATGGCAATTCCCTACACTGGATTTTATTCAAGGGTCTCGGGGTAAAGGAAGCTTAAAAAGTATACACGCCAACTTTTCACATTCTTTTTGTTAAAATATTTTTTCTACCATGTGTGGAAATATAAATGCATTATTATTAGTAGCTAAGACTAAGATATACTCTGCTGCTTATAGACTGATTTTAATTTGGAGTTTTAGTTATGCTTTTGATAGCTAGAAAAAAAACCTTAACATTGGCTTCTAGTGTCACAATTAATAACATAAGGAGTGTGCATTATTAAAGGTTAAGGCTTGCAGGTGTTTTCTGTCTGTTCAATAAGGAGCCAGGAGTATTTGTGGGGCGGTGTGCCACTCCTCTCTGCACAGATCGAAACTTCTGATAACTATTCCACCCAGAAACTTCTAGAAGATGTGTGCAAAACAATTATTTAATTAAATGATGAAATTTATATCTGTTTCTTTGATGCTGTTGTTGCGGAGACATCCACAGATAGTATGATTCTGTATGTAACTGAAAAAAAGTGCAGCACAGGAACGGTGAGGTATAAAATGGAATGGAACGCAGCCCCAGTCAGAAAACACAGAGATTTCCAGGTAGCAGTGTAAGTGTGATGTCTCCCTCTCTGAATTCAGATTGGTTTTAATAGACTTGTGGAAACGTACAACTGATCTCTGACTGAGTATTGTCCTTTGGGGTGCCAAATAAAAGAGTCGATGAGAGTTGAGGAGTAATGAAAGAATTAACGGACGGCCAGTGAATTTTTCCTACCTCGACACACGTCATAAATATGAGCTACTTTGTGTTGATCTATCACAGAACATAAAATGCAGTGAAGTCTGGTTGTAGCCTGACAAAATGTTAAAGGGATTAATCTGTGTTCATACTTTTGCCAGGCACTGTACATCCTAATGTCCTTTAACAGCTAACTATGATATCTGATTTACATCATGCCCTCATGAAATTATTGCAATGAACAGAATGATTTTAAGCATTCAGTCATGTAGAATATTCTAACACTGGAAAATGAAATGTCAGAGAGTATAATTTAGGCCTATAAATAAATGTGAATAATTGAGAATCAGGCAAAGGCAACAATTTTACAGTACAGAAAAAGGCTACTTAAGCAGTTCTTATACTTAGCATATGATTAAAGCATGATTCTACAGGCTATGGCTAAAAAACGTTGAAACACAAAGTGAGACACTGTCAGCTGGTGCATAACTCATGACTTTTTTATCAAAACATGAATTACTCACATAATCGCCACCTCCCCTTTCACACGTTTATAGAAAGTATAAAAGTTCAAATTCAGCCAAAAACGTTTTCATCATTTCTTGTTTTTAGTTAAAAAAAGAATTGCTAAAAGCAAACAAAAGTTAATGGTTTACTTAGTTTCTGTTCTTTCCTCTCAGTAGAAGAGAGAAAGCAAAGCAAAAGAAAACAGTGCTGAAAACAGTCAGGTCAAGGAGCTGACAGGGGAAAGGAGAGATTGCACAAAGTAAAACAAAACATTCCGTCTCTTTTTTCCTCAAGCAGCTTATGCCCCTGCTTCCATTAACCTCCACAATGACATGAAGAAAATAAACGGATACTCTCCGCCTCTCCACACCCAGTGGCACATGTGCATGCTGAAGTGAGGAACGGATCAGAGGCGACACAGATTAGGAGTCAACAGGGTTTCCTTCATATGGGTGGATGCAGCTGGAGGGCCGATTAGACAAGCCAAGCAAGGGTGAGGAAGGGGTACGGCCGATGCTATCACAGCCTTTCAAACCAACTTCCTTACTAGGAACTCTGCAGACTACCGTGAAATTGATCAAGCCTCTTGAAAAAATGTTGTAGTATGTGTCAGTGACATTTCGAATGAGGGAAATAAGAATAACAGCTATGTGAGTGTGCCTTTAGGCTATAGAAGAAAAAACCTCTTTGAGTGTTGTTATTTATTCAATTCTCTTATCTGGACTCAAAAGTAAAATTGGTTATTTCATGTGTTTATATGCAGTAGATATCACTGTTTTTAAGCAGCCAAATATGGTGACCCATTACACGTTAGAGCATCAAATTAACCAAAAACAAGGAACTAACGAAGAACAAAAAGCAAAGGACTAACTTAAATTTTCATATTCTGTCATGTTAAAATCAGAAATTTCAATATATTAAGTGGTTTTTGATGTGACGACCAACACAATGTGGTACATACAGTGCCTTGCGAAAGTATTCGGCCCCCTTGAACTTTTCAACCTTTTGTCACATTTCAGGCTTCAAACATAAAGATATAAATTTCAAATTTTTTGTGAAGAATCAACAACAAGTGGGAAACAATCGTGAAGTGGAATGAAATTTATTGGATGTGTCAACTTTTTTTAACAATAAAAACTGAAAAGTGGGGCGTGCAATATTATTTGACCCCCTTGCGTTAATAACTTTGTAGCGCCACCCTTTGCTGCAATTTCCCGGCTGTCAAGTTCGCTTGGGGTTCAAAGTATGTGCCTCGCTCTTTATCTCGTCTTTTGGCCACATTCGAGGGTAGCTAGGTCCTGTATAAATTCTTGCGCCATGCTGTCTTACTCTGTTCCGTCTTTCCGAAGCACACAGCTCGAGCACAGTGAGGTTTGGACTGAGCTGATAGCGTATCGTGACAACCCAGTCTTAGCCTCTTTCCACAGTTCTTTGATTGGATCTCCAGGGTCTGGACTTTGACTTGGCCATTCCAACTACCTGGATAGTCGTTTTTCATTTTTGGAACCATTCCATTGTATATTTTGGCTTTTATTTTTAGGGATCATTGACGTTATGGAAACAGATATTAATCTCCGTCCCAGGATCCTCAAGAGGTCCTCTTGCAGACTCCAATAAGGGTTTCTTCCCAATGGTCCTGTTTTATTTGCCCATCCATCTTCCCATCAATTTTTGACCATCTTCCCCTGTCCCTGCTTGATCGAAACAGCCATGTGCCAACAACACCAGAGGTGCTGGCCACACCCATCTCTGACTTGTGGTGGGATGGTGTGTTCAGGGTGTTGAGGCGTCTGTGTTTTTTGCTTTTTACGTTGTGTGTTTGTTTTGCATTGGGGGGGTGGCCAACATACAGTATAGATTTTGGTTTTCATCGCTGCACAGTGTCTCCCTGGACTGCGGTTTTTAACAGTGCTTGGGAAAATCGTTTTTGTATCCAAATCCACTTTAAACTTCTTCGACAACAGGTATCTCTGACCTACCTGGATGTGTTCTTTGGTCTCATGTGCTCTGCTGCGCTTTGAACAGGACCCTGACACTATCTACAGAGCACTGCATTTATATGGAAGGCTTGATTAACACACGTGATTCTATTTATATCATCAGTCTTTTGGAACAACATGGATCATTCAGACAATCATCCTCCTGACTTCTGGAGTGAGTTTGCTTCACATGAAAATAAAGTGCCGAATAATATTTGGACACCCCACTTTTCAGTTTTTTATTTGGTTAAGAAGAGGTTGACACATCCAATGATTTCATTCACTTCACGATTGTGGCGCCGACTTGTTGGAGTCTTCAAAAAAAATTGAAATGTATATCTTTATGTTTGAAGCCTGAAATGTGGCAAAAGGTTGAAAAGTTCAAGGGGGCCAAATACTTTCGCAAGGCACTGTAATTGTTAAGTGGAAGGAAAATGTACAATAACTTGACTTCAGAATTTATCTAAGTGCTAAATAGAGTCCACCTGTATGTAATTTAATCTCACTGCAGTACAGTATTGTACAGGTGTTCCCTCATTCATTCTGGTCTTTCTGGAAGATTGGCAAGAAAACAACAACACAAAGTTTTGTTAGCATTTGTCATAAACCATGTAGGGGACACACCAATTTTTTAGAAGAGCATTTTTAGAAGAAGGTGCTCTAATCAGATGAGACCAATATTGGGGTTTTGGGCCTACATGCAAAACACTATCTGGCAGGGATAACTAACTCTGCAAATCACCCTAAACACGCCATCCCCAAAGCAAAAGATGGTGGTGGCAGCACGATGCTGTCTTGATACTTTATTTCAGCAGAGACAGGGAAGCCAGGGAAAGTTGATGGGAAGATTAATTAAGGCAGCACTAGGCAGTCGTGCAAA